ATTAAAGGTATCCAAATAGGGGCAGAAGAGATCAAACTTTCACTATTTGCTGATGATATGATATTATATTTAGAAAACTCCAAAGATTCAATCAAGAAACTCCTGGAACTGATAAATGAATTTAGTAAAGTCTCAGGATACAAAATCAATACACAGAATTCAGAGGCATTCATATATGCCAACAACAATCTAAGTGAGAACCAAATCAAAGACTCAATTCCTTTCATAACAGCAACAAAGAAAGTAAAGTACCTAGGAATATACTTAACCAAGGGAAATAAAAGACCTCTCCAGGGAGAACTATGAAACACTGAGGAAGGAAATAGCAGAGGATGTAAACAGATGGAAATCCATACCATGCTCGTGGATCGGCAGACTCAACATCATTAAAATGTCTATACTACCCAAACTGATCTACAGATTCAATGCAATACCTATTAAAATCCCATCAGCATTCTTCACAGATATAGAAAAAAATTTACGCTTCGTATGGAACCAAAGAAGACCAGAATATCAAAAGCAATTCTAGGCAACTAAACAAAATGGGAGGTATTCATATGCCAGTATCAAACTATACTACAAAGCTGTAGTCATTAATCAATCTAGTATTGGCATAAAAATAGAATATTGACCAGTGGAACAGATGTGAGAATCCTGATATTAAAAAATCCTCATATAGCCATCTAATCTTTGACAAAGCAGACAAAACTTATGCTGAGGAAAAGAATCCCTTTTCAATAAATGGTGCTGGGAAAACTGGATAGCCACTTGTAGAAGGCTAAAGCAGGACCCACACCTTTCACCTCCCACAAAAATCAACTCACGCTGGATAACAGACCTAAACTTGAGGTATGAAACTATTAGAATTCTAGGGAAAATGTTGGAAACACTCTCCTAGACTCGCCTGGCAAGAGTTATGAAGAAGTCCCAAAGGCAATCACAGCAGCAATAAAAATAAATAAATGGACATGATCAAACTACAAGCTTCTGCACAGCCAAAGAAATGTCATGAAAGTAAACAGACAACCTACAGAATGGAGAAAATTTTGCATCCTAGCATCGATAAGGGCTGATAACTAGAATATACTTAGAACTCATGTAAATCAGCAAGAAAAATCAAATAACCCTGTTAAAAAGTGGGCAAAGACTTGAACAGAACTTTTCTAAAGATGACAGAAGAATGGCCAACAAACATATGAAAAAATGTTCAACATCTCTAATCATCAAGGAAATGCAAATCAAAATCACAATGAGATATCACTTAACTCCAGTGAGAATGGCCTTTATCAAAAAGTCTCCAAACAATAAATGCTGCCGTGGATGCGGAGAGGAGAGGAACACTCCTACACTGCTGGGGGACTGCAAACTAGTTCAACCTCTGTGGAAAGCAATAGGAGATACCTTAAAGCGATACAAGTGAATCTACCATTTGATCCAGCAATCCCATTGCTGGGCATCTACCCAAAAGATCCAATGACAGCTACAAAAAAGACACCTGCATCGAATGTTTATAGAGCACAATTCATAATTGCAAGGCTGTGGAAACAGCCCAAGTGCCCATCAATCCAAGAATGGATTAATAAAATGTGGTATATGTATACCATGGAGTACTATTCAGCTCTAGGAAACAACGGTGATATAGCACATCTTATATTTTCCTGGTTAGAGTTGAAACTCATACTACTAAGTGAAGTATCCCAAGAATGGAAAAACAAGCACCACATATACTCACCAGCAAAGTGGTATGAACTGAGCAGCACCTAAGTGGACACATAGGTACTACAGTAATAGGGTATTGGACATGTGGGAGGGGGGAAGGGGCGAGTATGTACATACATAATGAGTGAGATGTGCACCATCTGGGGGATGATCATGCTGGAAACTTAGACTTGTGGGGGGAGGAGGGGAAAGGGCATTTATTGAAACCTTATAATTTGTATCCCCATAATATGCCGAAATAAAAAAAAAAAGGATCTCAGCAAAGAAGTAGCGAGTAGAGACAGAGGAGTATGGGGAAGAAATTCATGATAATATTTTGTGCACGGTCTAAGGCAATATCGCTTGACGCAGATGAGCATGGACATTGCTCGAGACGGTAGTGGTGAGGATAAGGCACCCTGTCTCTTCCCCGCAGATGGCTGCGCTTCCTGCCCAAATCCCACCTTTATTCCGCAGCTAGGAAGCGCCTCCGCCCGGCTGCAGCGGGCCCTGCACCTGCGCCCTCTCCGCCTCTCCGCGCAGGGGCGCCGCCGCGTCCGCCATGCGGCCCGTGAAACCACGCGCTCTGTCTTCTCTTGGCTCTCAGGCTGTTCAAAAGCTGAAGGGTAATATCTGGGACTGCTCTGGTTTATTCGTGGACTTTAACTCAGAACACATTTCCACAAAGAGAGGCAGAACAAAGCACAATAGCATTAAAGTTCAATTTACGTTCTCAGTCAGTGAAACAAAATGGAAATAAAAAACAGTTGTGGGAGAGTCATAACTAAACCTATGGCTCAAAAAGCGCCTTTCTTATAATGTCATGAAATAAAAAACATTTTAAAAACCACCAACAAAAGCTTAAGTGACCAAAAAAGAAGTGAAGGCTTTCAATATTTAAAAAAAAAAAAAAAAAAGATTTAAAGTACTGATGACATTGTGTGATCCTCTCTCCCAATTTGGCAGATTAATATTTCCTGATCTTAAATATTTTCCTTCTGCTAAAGGTTTGTTTTGATGCTGCTGGTCACTGGGAAGCCAGTCTATCTTTGGAAACCCCGAACGCGCCAAGCACGTTTCCCTCGCAGTCGGCCCGGCCTTCTCCGACGCCCGCGCAGCTTACCTGCCACCACACTTCAGTGATCTCCGGGTACAAATTTGCCATAGTAAGTTATGTCTGGCTTGTTCTGCAAAAAAAAAAAAAAAATATATATATATATATATATATATATATGCCACGTGCTAGCAGATGGATGCAATTCTAGCAACTATGTCAGCGACACTGTTAAGAAACAGTACACAAAGCACATGCCATTCTTACGTGATTAGAAATGTCACAAGATTGCGGTGATAAATGGAGGGGCTTCCTGACTTAAATTTCAAACTCTATCTCACACAGTTAATCAGCAGCGGAACTTGAGGAAGACTTCTGCCTCCAAGTCTTGCACATTTTCTGCAAAGCTGAAAAATGGAAATTCTCCTAGTAACACGTACAAGGCCCTCATCCAGCTGTCACGTGAAACCGTGCGCAGCTCCCCGGGGTGCCAGGCGGGCCCCCTTCCATGTCTGCGCTGGTGCTGTTTTCTTCCCTTCCAACCCGTGAAGCCAAAATTTCTCTAAAATAATTATCAGTCCCCAGGCCAGGTTATCATCACCCATTTAGTGTTCCTTTTGGCTGTCTCTCACATTATAACTATTTATTTCTGGGCCTGTTGCTACTGTTGTACTGTAAACTTTTTAAGAATATGGAATAGCCTTTATTCATCTTTGTCTCCTGGGATTTTAGCCCAGTGTTTCGTGTGTAGTTAGTGGCTTGTTAAATGTTTTCAGAAGGAATTAATGCTCTATCCATATTAAATCCAATAATTTTTCAAATTAAAATTTTTTCAACTTTTTGTTTTATTTTAATTTTTACAGAGAGACATGCCAGAGCACTCTACTTAGAAGGACATTTAGATATTGACAGAAATGGCAGAACCTGTTTGTTAGCCCCTCCAAAACTCAATTCATAGCCCTCTATGGCCATGCTTGCACCTAGAAGAGGTTAGAGTAGCTAAACACCAGCTTCCCAGGCTCCCTCGCAGCTCAGTTTGCCATGCGACTCAGTTATGGCCAAGGGTACATCAGTGAAAGTCCCTTGGGAAGCTTTCTTGATACCAAAATGTGTGGCGAGTTCCTCCCTAGCACCCTTCTTCCTTGCTGGAGCTCTCTGCAGCCCCAAGGCACCAAATGTGAATCTGAGATCCATCACAACAAGGACAGAAGAGTAGGCGGATAGAGAAGATGTTGGATTTCTGAGAGCATCACGGAGCCTCCGAACCTACGCAACAGCTGCTGCTGCTGCTGCTGCTGCTGCTGCTGCTGCACTTGTTATATAAGAAAAATATGCCCTTCAATATGTAAACTGCTTTTTGGCAGAAGGAAGCCTAATGTCTTTGAACACTTACAATTCCACGAAAAATTATGGAGCAATTGCTCTGAGCAAGCACTAAACGGGTTTGAAGCCAAATACACGGCTTGACCAAGACTAAGTAAAAATGAAGATGTGTTTTAGAATTTTTAAGAGCAAGTATTTGAGAGTATTATCATGTTCCAAAGTCTAAGCATAGACTTTTTTTTCTGGTATAACCTCCCAACATAAAATTATGTATAGTTGGCCCTTGAACACCGTGGGCTTGAACACCATGGGTCCACTCAGAGGACGATTTCTTCACCTCTGCCACCCTGGATACGAGACCAACCCCTTCTCTTCTTCCTCCTCCTCAGCCTACTACTCAGCATGAAGAACTTAAGATGATTCACTCCCACTTACCGAATAGTAAACATATTTTCTCTTCCTTATGATTTTCTTAATGACATTTTCTTTTCTCTGACTTACTTTATTATAACAGTGCAGTATATAATACAAATAACATACAAAGTATGTGTTAATCACTCTTTATATTATCAATAAGGCTTCCAGTCAATAGGAAACCACTGGTAGTTAAGTTTTTGAGGAGGCAAAATTTATTTGTGGATTTTCAACTGCACAGGGATTGGGGGGCCTAGTGCCCCTAAACTTGTCATCGTTCAAGGCTCAGTTGTATATATTTTTTTAAACCATTACAAAAATGATTGCAGCTTTCATGACACTCTACACCTGAATACTTCATCCTATCCTTCAAAAAATTAAGATATTTCTTCTCTATAATCATTACCATATCTAATAAAGGTAATAATTTCCAAATATAATATCATGCTCAAACCATATTCAAATTTTAACAATTATATGCTCCAAATGTTTTCTTTGAAACCAGAATCTGATTCTTGCATTATGCTTTAATCTACATTAGCCTCCCACACACCCCAGCCCTTATTTCTTCATGATATTGTCTGGTTGAAGAGATCAGTGCAGTTGACATGCAAAGTGTCTTACTTTAAGGATTTTGTCAGATTGTTTCCTTTTGGTGTCATTTCACCTGTTCCTCTGTCTCTGCATTTTCTGTAAAGTGGAAATTAGGTGTAAAGGTTTGGTGAAACTTGAGTTAGAATGGTTTTGACAAGAACACCACAGGCGATTCTTGTGTGTGCAGCCTCTCACACCCAGTTCTTGGCCATTGGTTTTGTGCCTCTGCTCCCTGTCCATAAATGTTCATGGCTCCCTAGCTTACTGTCCCATGCCTAGCTTGATGTGACTACTCATGGTCCCATGCCGCCATGCCTGTTTGTGCTGTGCTTTATGCAGAAGTCATCTTTCTCTTGTAGGTATGGTCTACAGTCAGGCACAGAAGATACCGCCCTTATGTCATCGCCTTCTCTCAAGCGTGGGCAGGACTGATGACTAGCACTAGCTTCTAACTAGTAGAATATAGCAAGGGTAATGTGATGCCAATCCCATGATTATGTTACATAAAATACTAACTTACATCTTGCCAGCAGGTTCTTCCTCTTCATGACTTTGGTGAAGCAAACTGCCTTGTTGGAGAGGGGCAAGGGACTAAGGGTGGCCACCCCCTTACAGGCAGCAAGGAATGAGGTCCTCAGTCCATTGACCCTCAAGGACCTGAAGTCTCTCAAGAACTACTGACATGAGCTTAGAAGTGGATTCTTTTTCATTTGAGCCTTTAACTTTTTCATTTGAGCCTTGGTCCTGGCTAACATATTGGTTATAGCCCGTGAGAGACTCTGAGCCAGGTCACTCAGCTAAGCTGCATCTGGATTTCAACCCACAGAAACTTTGAAAAATAAATGTGTTTTAAGCTAATAAATTTTGGGATAATTTTTTACATAACAATAGCTAATACATCCCACATACCTCAATACCATATTTCAAGCCAAACCAATTCTTCAAGGACCAGCCTACATAGTTTAGTATGCTTCATACCCTAAAGCTCTGAGTTCCTGCTGAGTCCTATTGTCAGAACCACAAAATTTACTATTTAATACCACTAATATTGTCTCTCCAAGTAGACCATATGTTCTCTGCAGGCAGGAACCACATTTAAATATTGTATCTCCCACATTCTGGCACATGATGTAGCATATATGAGAGGAACTCACTGAACACTTGTTAATTATAGTTATAATTACTATATTTAACAACCTGTAATAATATACAGTCACTATAATCTTGACTTACCAAATGTTAACAGCTATATCAATGTCTATAATTAAATGTGTCTATAATAAGGAGATATATTTGGCCCTGCAAAAGAGAACAGTATTATCTGAGATTTCCTTTTTATTCATTTATTTTTTGGGGGGGCAAACAATACAAATGGAGTGGTTAGTAACAATGATGTTTTCTGGATTTTTCCTAGATAAGACAATAGAAATATAAACAACAATCTCTTCTTATCTCTTCCTGAGAAAATTCTAATAAGTTCAGCCTTTAACAATCGGCCTTTCTCCAAACTCACATATTTTTCCCCCTAAGCTTAGTATGCTGGCACAAACAGGATTTGAAGAAGTCCATCTATGCATAAATGCACTTTAGTGTCCTGTATTTGTCAGTGTTCCCCAGAGAAACAGAAGCAGTAGGAAATATATGTGTATGTAAGTGTATATATATTTCATATATGTGTGTATGTGTGTGTGTATATATATATATATATTTTTTTTTTTTTTGAGACTGAGGTCTCACTTTGTTGGCCCAATCTCT